ATGAGAGGATGCACTATCTGATTTGAATTTTTTTACACCTGTACCTTTCTATAAAGCCTCTAATGTTTGCTTTGCCAGATGTGGTTTCAATCAGCATTCATTGCCACGGTGTTGATTGGGCTCACCCAGTTGTGTCTTGGCCAAAATACATCTGTTAACTTTTACAGAAGTCTCGTCTCAAGTTTTTGTTTGGGTCTCTGAAACCTGGGTAGCATAGAGTGCCTTACATCCCAATTCCTCTTCTTACATCCAGGAATCAAATTATCTGGCATGTAGAACTATGTATCAGATGCCAGTGCTAGAACATCTGCACACCTGTAAGAGATATTTGAAGAATAAATATAACCTATCTTTGCAAAACAAGGTTTGAAGGCCTATTTTTCATCCTCGAATCCTGCCACTTCTCATTCATATCCATTAAAATCAACATGTGGCCAGATTTAATATGGTTTTCAGAGATCAACTTTGAGGAATGTAAATTTTTCTTACTTTTTTTTTTTAAAACTTTCCTTCGATATTCTGCTTCTTCACAATTTAACGTTTGCATCAAAATACAGGAAAAAGTTCACCATACACTATGTATGTATTAACTGATTGGCCTTTTCCTTCTTTTCTCCCTCTGTTCATCAGTTGTCTGGACAACTTCTTTATAGATAATATACAAATTATATTTCTGTTTTCCAGTAAAATCTCAGTTCCTGCAAAGATTCTCCTTCTAGGGTCCAGCTTATGGAAATTTTCTAATTAGTCATAATTTCTAAACTTGCAGGTCCTCTGCCTCTCTGTCTTTAGCCTCATAAACACTATAAAGAAGAGGCAGGTGCAGCACATCATAAAATGCAGAGAAAAATAATTTACTTTTGTTTCTTTGTTAGTTGCTCCTTTTTGTTCAACTCAGGCCTCAGAACAATGATATAGCATTTGGGGGAAAAGATGCAGCCCAGTAATCCGGCTGCAGAAGCCAAAATGCAGAAGATTTCTACGGCTGCTGTGTACTTCCCCTTGGTGCTCAGATAGGTAGGAACAAATGAC